GCTTCACATATCTGGAAGTGTTTTGTTGCTTGTGCAGGCTGATCCATTTCATAAACACGTCGCACTACTCCTCATCACATCAAAGTGAAATTGATTTCAATGTGCAAGAAAGTCCGATCGATTTTGTGGCCGAGGTGCAATTGAGATGTTATTCACCGCTGTCAATCACATCTATTTGAAGATGTGATTGACAGAACGATTCAATTTACTCCAAATTATACGAAATTCTGAGATTCATAAATGAGTTTAATTGAACACCAAGTGTTTCTATTACCTGGCAAAAAGAAATGCTAGAAGGCATGAATTCGATGTTTCAATATCTATTGACAGCATTATTGTTGTGGGAGGAGAAGGTACGGATATGAATTTTATTGCATGCACGTTTATGTTTTAGATGTGAACCTATGCCATTTTACATGCAGAACCCCTGGTTTCTAAGACTTGATTCATTAGTCCTGAATTCATCAGTTTAAAGATCATGACATGAAATATTAAAGAAACACAGCACTTAAAGTGATATAAAACTGCAGCGATACGTCTTGAATTATATAAAACCACTAATATTGAACGGGTCGACTAAAGGTCTAAATGGGTTCTTCCCTTTTCCCCAGGCCTCCCTGCCAATTTAAACTCTCCTTTCTTGTGTCTTGAAGTTCAGAGTGAGATCACAACGATTACCCGGCGTGGGTCACACAGGTTTGTCTTACTCTGATGAACTCGATCAGGGTGTTGTAGATGAAGGTCCCCTTAAAGGCAGTATTGAAGCTGCAGAGTCATTTTCAGTCATTGTGATAACTCAAGGTTGAAGTAGACAGTTGTGCTTTGTGTGGTTTTCTTTCTTTTCACAATGCCTGTCTGTTTGGCTGCAGTCTGATGTTCGATCACCGGCCGCGCTCCTGGAGAGAGTTGCCCATTCGCATGGCCGACTTCGGCGTCCTGCACAGGAACGAGCTGTCGGGGGCCCTGACGGGCCTGACCCGGGTCCGCCGCTTCCAGCAGGACGACGCTCACATCTTCTGCACCATGGACCAGGTGAGCACTGCACTGACGCACCGGCATTACTCGGCTCAAGTTCACACATCTTGGTGTCACACAAGTCTGATGGGAAAGAACTGCCTGATGGCAGTGGATTTGACTTAATGGTAGGGTTGTAACAATACCTGTATTTGTATCGAATCGTTCCGTTTGGTATGAGACATCCTTTCACATCGTCCTGTGACCCAAGCAGCTGTTTATGTCTACTGCCCGCACACGCCCAGCTTTAACCCGGAACGTGTCGGCAGCGCACCAGGTGCTGTCGGCTTGTGCAAAGCTATAAAATGGTAGTTCATTTAGCGGGGTCAGTCGAGCTCAATGGACCACGACTTATGTCAAACTGTATGCTGACACTGTTAAACTGAAGTCTGGTGTATCTATGGAGACACTTCAAGCATTCCACTTGCCAGAATGTGACGATTAGCGGAACGAAGTGTTTGACGCTAATGTTGTGCTGTCCTGTTTAAACGAGCTACAGCCCAATGCAGGAATCAACAGGTCAAAGTGTTATGATGAAGCAGTGCAGGAAATGTGTTCATTTATTTATACATTTCTGACATTATGCCAGTATTTGGGTGCATTAGAGCTTTGTTTCTACTCGTGCTTGGCGCCGCGAGGCTCCGAGCACGAACGAAGCCGTTTATTCTCTATGTACTGTTCGCTGCATTATTCTCTGAAACACCAAAGGGCTTACAAACAAACTGTCCTGTGAAGAAGCCAAAAGCCAACAAGTGTAACCCAGAGGCATCGAGCCATGAACTAACCTCCACAATTTAATTATCCGTAAACTCGTATCTCATATTCATGGACGACTTTATTGCCTTTGTACAAGCCCTGTAAAAACACAAGTCAAGTATTACATGCATTATAAAAAAACTAAGGTTGAATATCATGTAAACTGTTTGATTTGGCTGCAAAATATAAACTCAAATGAAGGTTTTTAAGACCACCTGTTTCTGAAGCATTTAAAAGCAAATTGGCCTTCTTTGTATAATCCCTAGACACGTAGACTGTTTTTATCAGTGAACTATTTGTGAAGGTCACATGATCGCACCGGCTTCACTATGGCGAGTGTACAATAAGCTTTACTGTCCATTTTGAAAATACATGAACAAAATAAAGTTATTTTTTGCGTTTTCCCTATTGTACCCAAAACCAAGATCCGTAGTGAACCGTGCATTCTGTGTACAGTTACACCCCTGCTTAAAGGATAGTTCAACCATCTTTACACATCAAAGACTGTTGACAACTCTTACGGAGTACTACTGTAATACTAAGTCAATTAGACTTTCTTGATATCGCCCAACACTAAACCATTCCAGTTCTAGTGTAGCAGGTAACATTTTTTAGAAGCTACAATAAGCATACAAAACAGACTATTATCCAGTAAATCAAACTACCCCAGATGTATTTCCTAGATAAAGACTTGTTGAAGCAAGTTGAACAATGTTGAGATGAAAATGGAGCACCCAGTGGGAGACGATCCCAGTTTACTGACGAGTGGAGAAGAATGTGTCCGTTTCAAGAAGCCGGTTTGTGAAGGCTCTCTGTAAATCAGTGTCTGGCTGGTATAGTTCATTGAATACATTCAGGTAATGTAGCCGGTGGACAGTCTTATCACGCTCTCGGGTTAATTGGGGGATGGGGGCTCTCCAGGATGCTGCAGCTTAACTTGCATGTGAAGTCCCTCCACCAGAGAGGAGCGCTGCCAATGTGGTAATACGGCAATTTACAGCCAGGACTAATGTTGCACAGTGTATCGATACTAAAAAGGTACCCATACGCTAAAAACGATACGATTTTGCATATTTTTAGTATCGATACTTCATTAAAATAGGCGCAATCAGAGCGCACTCACTGTTTCTGTTCCCTGTCATGCTGCCTGCACGCATTGACTGCAAGGGGGCGGGGCTGCCCAGCGCTCACACACGCAACAGGCAGCGCTCACTCACAGCGAGTGATCGCAATGGATGGCATCAGGTGCAGGAGCTTTTGCCGACCGTCCTTGGCTTGTTGGAAAAAAAGATGCCAGAAGTGAAATCTGGAAGTACTTTGGCTACATTGCAGACAGTGAAGGAAAGCCCACTGACATACAGAGACCCGTCTGCAAAACGTGTTTCAAAGCCACACAGACCATGGGAGGCAACACGTCTAACATGGCAAAGCACCTTTCAGACAGACACCCTGAACTTTTCAAAGCAAATGTGATTGTAAACATGAACACCCCCAAGCTCACCCATATACAGCCTAACACGAGTAGCCTTAGCCTAGTTTGACGACAAGCCTATATGATCATGAGGTCACAATGCACACAAAAGCGTACTAAATGAAACACAATTGATGCAAAATGGCTACATGCTGGTGGAGCCTGAGGGTGGATCTTGAGCCAATTCTTTTTATTTTTAGTTAAGGAAAAATAATTATTCCATGAATTAAGATAAAATATGAAGTGAAAATATCAAACTCACTACGCAAGTAAATTAAGCGTTGTTTATCCACCCACTCCCACAGACAGTCAAACGGATGTCAACAGCAACACAGAGACAGAGTTCCCTTCCAGCTGTGTTTGAAAGCCAGCAGAAATATGAGAGAGGCTCAAAAGATGCGAAGAGGTTAAACATTAATATTAATGCCATTTGTTAAGTGCTCAAAAAGCTGGGCAGGAACAAGCTGGTAAAAAAGGGAACCATACAGATGTTTAATTTATTACTATTATAGATAAATATCGTATTTGTGGTATTGTATCGAATTCTGGTATCGTATCGTAAGTATCGGGTATCATGATACTTATGGCAGGTATCGTATCGAAGTCATAATTTTGGTATCGTAACAACCCTAGCCAGGACCCCCCCCCCCCCCCCCGTTTTCTCTTTATCAGCAACGGCAGTGGATTGCATGGTTAGTTTTCTTTTGATTGCATTTTGTACACAAATAATTTCTTCTTTTTGGCTGCAGCAGCTGCTGGAAAGTACTGCTTGTGCCGTTACCGTCATTTGTGATTTACCAGATTGAAAGCAAACTGCAGGAGGAGAGTCTTTGCTCTCATCTCGTACTCGCCATAACGTTTATAATCATCTAATGCAGACGGTAGCTCACGGTTTGTTTTCTGTGTTTTCTGTGTTTTTATGTTCCTGTTGTACCGCTTGTATTTTCACATCCAAACTGCTTGCCTGAAACTTGTGGAAGTGCATGATTGCCCTACTGGGACTCACCGCAGTAGAAGTGAATTTCTCAACTACTGGAAATATTCGATCATGACATTAAATCTCCAATAAGATGAGCAGTTTGTCCTATTCTTCTGATTGCGTCATATCACTTCATTCTTTGTTAATACCTGAACAAACAACATGATCTCCACATCGAGGTGAATGATGCTAATTATCTCACATTTTGTTTTTCACCCCCAGATTGAGGAGGAGATCAAGGGCTGCCTGGACTTCCTGCGCACTGTGTACGAGGTCTTCGGGTTCACTTTCAAACTCAACCTCTCCACCCGACCGGAGAAGTTCCTGGGGGACCCGGAGGTCTGGGACCAAGCAGAGAAGGTAATCACGAGGCCTCCCGTTTTCCTCACAGAGAGCTAAGATGCTCATGTGTAACATTACTAAGATGGAAATGCTGTCACCGCTTCACAGGCGGCAAATGGAAATTTGATTTGTGGACAGAGAGAACATTTATATTTTAATTGATTTTTATTGGGCGGAGCTGCTATCAATTGCGGAGCAGAAAAAGCTGGTTCCATCTCCGGAGAATGTACATCAATGCAGTCACTGTCCACCTCTGCTTCCAAATCTAATTACCTCTCTGTGGACCAGCTCTGAGTTTTACATGTCGGGTTCAGCTCTGCGTTTCTCTGTGAGAGAGCAGGTAGTGTTTAAACAAAGTAATAACAAGAGCCAGTGAGTTAAAGCGAGTGATAATGAGTCTTTATTACTGTGTTGTTTTCTGTACTAGATGAAACTCGGTGTGTTTCTCTCTCTTGGGACAACTTCCAGTCTAACAACTGACTCTGTAAAATCACTAATTGACAAGTATATGAAGCGCATGTGACTGTTTATTAGAGTGACGAGCCTGAAGGAAGAGACACAGCATGCGGTTTCCTCCTAACATCATTGTTTAGAAGTTTGTTTCATTTCACATTAACAATAATAATGTTATTTATATGGAACTTCTTTAATCTTTATGTCCAGATTAAAATATTTACATTTACAAAAGTCAGACTCCTGTATGACATATTAAAATGGAGATCATCCAGCAGCACTGAGCCTATAAATAAACAGATGGAGGTGCAAGTGCACAATAAAACAAACAAGTTCATATAATAAAGTAAGATGTGGAAAGCAGAAATGAATTAAAGCTACGAGCAGCATTGATCGGGCCCTCGCAACTTCACGCATGTCGAGGGTACTAGCAGGACTCTGGCCATGCATTTCTGTGACTATCATACACTGCGTGCACGAGTTAGATATTTGCTGCGTAGCAAGATCATGTTGCCAGGTCTTAAGCCTCAAATGTTTTGAGTGTACATCCGATGCAATCTTAATGATCTTTAAAGGCTTACATTTATGATTGTAAGCCTTTAAAGATCATTAAGAGAACGAATGTGTGTGAATGTGCTTCAGTGTTTGTAACATAACAGACTGTCAGTTTACAGGGATGGGTTCAACTCCCTGCAGTGTCCTGCTGATTATATTTGGACTTACATGAAAGCTAACAAAACAGTAGTGCCATTTGCTGTTACTTGAACACTTTATTTTAACACTGTTTTCATTTTAAGTTCTTCTTTAACTTTAGATTGTAGTGTGAAGCATTCATTATAACATTTAACCTGATTGTCATGAAGAAGCTCTGGACCTGGACAGATCATTTATACTAATGCCCACTGACATGGTTTGAAAATCCACTGTTATCTAACTTTTGCTCTCCAAGTATCTTAGTTTACACATATTTAGATCAGAGAAATCTTTTTCTCATGGTGTGCCCACAAACCCTTTTAATAAGTTCATTGTTTGGGCCGCTGTAATTATAGAATCCTGATTACGTCCGTGCTTATCAGTAGGTTGCGCTATGACTGAGTTAATATTGGCATGCAGAAGTCCTAAAGCCATGACAGTCAACAAGCATGTCAACTTTGGGACAGTTTTGACAAAGTACATTCGAGTTACAACAGCTTGATGGATGATGGCGAACCATATAAAATGCCCATCACACCATATCCAAGTCGTTTAATCGCTAAGGTCTTTAGATTGTTCTGACCAAATTCTAAGCTGATCGGATTAATTCCTTAGGAGTTCGTTAAAGTGCAGCGCCTGGAAATGACAAAAACGACACTAGAAATTCATAAAAAATTCAAAATGGCTGACTTCCTGTTGGGTTTAGAGCATGGTCCCAAGAGACTTTATTTTAAGTCCACATGTGATACATGTGCCTACCAAATTTTATAAATCTATGTGAAACATACAGCGAGGGCTGCTTCGTTGAAATTTTGTAGGGAGCGCTATTGAGCCGATTTGCCACTCTGAACCAATAAAATCATATTCTATAACTACATTTCGGGCTTGTAATCTGCTTGCCAAGTTTGCTTATGTTTCGAGCATTTTTAGCCTCTCAAAATGACCTTCGTTAACGGCGAAGACTGCATCGCCACGACAACGGTGTTGAACGAAACATCAAAAGCTTCATGAACTGGCACTATGAACTTCTTATATTTGTGTGGAACTTATTTGATATTGAGTTGTTTTACCTACTAAGAGAAACAAGCCAAAGTATAAAGACTTTAACTTCCTGTTACCAGTAGGTGGCGCTATGACTATGATTCAAAATTGGCCTGCAGATGTCTTCAGGACTGGAGTCTAATCAAACATGTGAAATCTGGTAAAGATCTGATGATGTGGAGTCGAGTTACATCAGTTTATTTCTTCATGGTGAAGGATCGAAATTCGCCGAGCTTCCACGTCGCCGCCCTTCGACAACTTCTTACAATCTTCACAATGAAGCATTATCAAGGTCTTAAGGCTGTTCTGACAACATTTTAGAGGGATCTGATTAATCTGTGAGGAGCAGGATGTCAAAGTACACAATTTACAACTTACAGTTGCCACTAGGTGGCGCGATTACTATGATTCTAAATTATATAGATGTGTTCCAGGTCAGGATGTTATGACATATAAGAGATTTGGAGCAGATTAGACAATATATGGCCGAGTTGCCACAACTTCCTGTTTGCGAATGGTGTTTTTTTGACGCCACGCCACGGATACATAGTTCGATAACTTTTTGATCTTTGAGTAACTTTTCACTGCCACGGGTCTCAAGAGCATACTGACCAAATCTGAAGTCAATCGGTTAAATCTCTAGGAGGAGTTCATTAAAGTACGACGCCTTGAAACGGTCCAAAAATGTCATAAAAGTCAAAATGGCCAACTTCCTGTTTGGTTTAGAGAAAAATTCCAAGAGAATTTTTTGTACGTCCCATCACGATCCACATACCTACCAAATTTCATACAGCTAGGTGAAACCCGGTGTTGGGGCTACTCAATAGGGGGCGCTATCGAGCCAATATTTCATACCGCAGCTGGACACCCCAATCAGACTGCAATTTTCGCAAATTCTGGCTTGCGTGCCAAATTTCACAAAATTCCCAGTATCCCAAGCACCTCCTTTTTGCGACGAAACACATAAAATAATAATCAACAATTGAATAACAATAGGTCCTCCGCTCCGACTACGTCGGTGCTCGGGCCCTAATAAGGTGAGATTTAAATATAGAAAATAACCACATATATTAAACTAGCATAGCAAATATCAGAATGGGTCGCATATGAAATGGATAGATTGCCAATAAAAGAACAAACTGTTGAGTTCAAAACAAGCACAATTTAAATATGTAATGACAATAAAGTTGAAATTAATGTTCATTAATTAATGTTGTATTAATGTTCTGTGCACCATAGAATATTAATACAAAGATGAACTAGGAAGTGATGCGATAGTCCGTGGACAGAGGGGGTTTAGTTGATGATCTGGAAGAATAACGTGATGCTTTTAATGCCTAGCTGCCTAACCATGTGTCAGCTCCCCTTTATTGATTGTTGCATATTTTTTATCATAGTGATTACATTACTCTTTTTTGTGACAACACAGAAAATGCTTCATCTTGTATTCGGTCTCAGGGTCCAACACATCACATACACACATAGGACTGTATGCACATTCCCACTTTGATAGATGACAATAAGTGATCACATGTGAGCCAGATATCATGCAGGTACTAACTAACTGCTACGTACTAACTAACTGCTACGTACTAACACTTAAGGAGATCTCTTTGTTTCCCTCTCTGGTTAACCGGCATTGTGTAAAGTCCTCAGTGATCGATCCTAACTGCAGGAACATTACTGATGATAGAAGTTATTTGTAACATGTCGTTTTATGAAGAGTCAATCTAGTGTTTAAATATTAAACGCTGTAGTGTGCTGATGGGCAGAATAGAGCAGAGACACCGTGCTGCTGCAGACTCTCTGCATGTGTTTATCTGGAGCTGAGGATCATTCTGGGAGCTTGTAAGTGCTACAGCTGTTTGGTTGACCTATCGGGGCTCTTCTCTCTGAGGAAAAACATTTCCTAAATTCAGCACTGACTTATTATGATTAATGTTTGCGCGCACAAAGGTGGAAAATGATACACACACAGAAAAAACAACGTGACTAGAACAGAACTCGCTGCGTGTTTCCCTCGCCTCGTTAACTCCCTCAAGCAACCGTAAAGTATTATTGAGAGGTTAACATTTCTCAGTTCAGTGATTAGTTCCAGATGAAGCAAATGTCAGGTCTGATACACGGCTTTGCTGCAACACCACTGTTCACCCGCGTGTTGGAGAGCCGTTGATATTGTAACAAAGCAGTAAATAGCTTGTTTCCTTTTTTTTTTTAACAGCAACTGGAGAACAGCTTGATTGCCTTCAAGGAGAAATGGGTCCTCAACCCCGGTGACGGAGCGTTTTACGGGCCGAAGGTGAGCCGCGGTAACGCTGCACTTGAACTGTGAGACGGCAGGAGGGCCGCCACTGATCGCTTTGTGTCGTTTCCTTCCGCAGATCGACATCGAGATCAAGGACGCCATCGGCCGCTACCATCAGTGCGCCACGATCCAGCTCGACTTCCAGCTCCCGATCCGCTTCAACCTCTCCTTCGTCAGGTAGTTCATGCACGTTGTAAAGGAACGGGGGAGAGAAGCAGAATATTTGTGATGTTGCAAATGCACTACGCTCATTGAATTAAATGTATTGTAATAAAGTAAACATCATCGAGGAGAGAAGTTTCATATAGGAATCGGTCAAAGTTATTGCCTTCTGGAGAACATTGAGTGCTGATGTGAAAGCAGAAAATAGGATTGTCTTGAATGGAACTATATGATGTGCATTTCTGGTGAAGTAGCTGCAGCTGCCCCAGAGGCTATAGAGGTTTGGTTTTAATCTTGCTGTTAAGCTTTTTTATTTTTTTTTACTGTTTATAAAAAAACAACAATGAATCCAAAAAAGGAGATTATACAAACGATCTCTGTTGTTCCTTTTAGAGTTCTTGTGTGAGTTCCTAAAAAATAATTTTCCCCACTCTTCTTATGATTTTGTAGCCAAGATGGTGACGACAAGAAGAGACCAGTGATCATCCACAGGGCCATCCTGGGATCAGTAGAGAGGATGATCGCTATTCTGACTGAGAACTACGGAGGCAAATGGTTCGTAAACAATCCGGTTTAAAACATAGAGGGGTTTGTTTCAGTGCTCCTCCTGAGCACTGTTACTAGTTTTCAGATCATTAACATTAGCTTCCCTGCTAACCAGCCCAACGTGTTGCGTTTCAGGCCGCTGTGGCTCTCTCCTCAGCAGGTGATGGTTGTACCCGTGGGACCGACCTGTGAAGAATACGCTCAGAAGGTAACCACCGACCACAGCTGCTTTTTGTTCATATTCTCACTCCAAACATGAGATTAGATTCATCTTTATGTCAATGCACACAGAGTCCAGGTACTGAGACAACAGAATGCAGGTTAGCATCTAGCCAGAGCGCTGTAGTGATGTACATACTGTACACAGTGGTAATATGCTACATGTATACAGCATTAGCAGTGTGTAATGAACATGTGCAGCACAAACTACAGTTCATGTTTCTAAAAGGTTTCATTTCTGTTGATGGCGTTGTACTCAAAGTGATTGCTGAGATCTCACAACGGAGCTGCCATACAGGTTGTGATCGAGCTCTAGATGGATTTCTTTTTTATTTTATATTCACCTTTGTTTTTCGCTTCAAACACATTCGACTAATCTGTTGGCTTGTTTACAACCTTCCTGACTGCTTTATTATAAATGTCATTTATATTTATGTTAACGATCCACAGTCAAAAGCCAGTACTGTTTATGTAGTCATGTACGTCGCTGCATTTATAACACCGTCCTGCAAATATTTCAGAATAAAAGCCTCGCGTTAATAAATGGCAGGATTCTTTCCATGGAAGGATACCAGAGAACTTTTATTTTGAAATAGGAAGTGTTGAGTTAAAAATAACTTTTTCCCATGTCTGTGGCATGTTCTACAGTGATGTTGTTGGTATGATAAATATACTGGCAAAAGAATATTCTTCACCGCGGGAAAAATAGGGGAGACCTTGAATCTCTAGAAGAGACGCAACTGAGTGTGTGCAGGGCGGCAAAAATAAATGTACCAGTCCACATTTGAAAACCATCGAATTTCTAAAATTAACTTAACCTTTATCCATCTCTCCGGTTAATGCGGCAGGTCCAGCAGGAGTTCCACAACAATGGCTTCATGACCGACGTGGACCTGGACCCCAGCTGTACTCTGAACAAGAAGATCAGAAACGCACAGCTGGCGCAGTTCAACTTCATCCTGGGTCAGTGGCAACACACTGTTCTGTCACTCCGTCTGTTCCCTCTCTTTCCCTCACCTTATCTCTTCCTCGCTGTCCATCGAGATATTGATTTCTGTTTTTTTTTCCTGTTCTCCTTGCATGTTTCTCTGCTTGTGAAAAGTGGTGGGAGAGAAGGAGAAGACCAGCAACACTGTGAACGTACGCACCCGGGACAACAAAGTCCACGGCGAGCGCACCGTGGAGGAGTGCGTGGAGCGTCTGAAGCAACTCAAGACCTGCAAGAGTCGCAACGCTGAGGAGGACTTCTGAGCTCTCACACTCTGTCTACAGTACCTCCGATCTGGTAACTTTTAAAATGGGCCATGTGGTTGAAATTAGTTTGTTGGTGAGGGATGGAACTATTTTCACATTTGTGCCTAGTCGCTCCTTTTTGTCCTCATGGAAATCACATTATTTTACATTAGATTATTATTGTCTTCTTTTTTTTTTTGGTGTCCTGAGTCGCTATATTTTTGCTTACCAAGTCTCTGTTCTTCATGGAATGAAGTATAATTGTTCTTGAATATAACCACTGTGATCAGGTCTTTGAACAGCTGATGGATGAACTGATTAAAACAGGGGAAATGGTTTTGCTACATTGTCTTTAACAGTTTGTATCTTGAAATTCTTTCTTCAGGGAATTGTAAGAGTTACAATTTTGATAATTAAATGGTCTATTCTTAATTTGTGTGTTGCTTTTTATTTAAGATTCAACTTTTCTTTTCCGTGGCCAAACTTCAGCTGTAATTTTTTTTTCCGTTCAGAATTGCGTCTTCTTAATTAAACGGCAGCAAACAAGTGTGTCCATCAGTGAACTGTGTCAGGATGTGGAGGAAAACAAGGCATTAAAACACAAGATAATTACAACATACGGTTATAGTTATTCAGCACTGAAATGTGTTTTTCAAGTCACAACTCATTTTACTAGTTAAACTTTGAATCACTTGATAGTCTGAGGATGGAACCATTTCATTTTCCACAAGAGGGGTGGAGGTTTGGAGAGATGAGCGTCGGAAAGGTAGAAGTGGATCCTGATCAACTTCCACTAACGCATCATCACTTAGGATGGAAACCGGTGATGTGCTGGAGGGTGAAACACCTCATTATTAAAATGTTTGCTGAAGTCAGAGACCATCTACTTTAACTCTCTGCACCATCACACCAAGGTAGGAGTCCTGTTTTACATTCTAATACTCATATATTTAAAACTGCCTTTTCAAGTAAAAGTGTTAACAATTAACAGGCTGAACGAAACGTGCAATATAAATCACAAATAACTGCAAATTACTGCTAATGCTCCACTTATGCACTTTCACAGCATTTCTTGACTTTTCCCTCCGATCAGCTCATCATTCCTGCTCCAACCAGCAACATACCTGACCTCAGGTCAGTATTCACGACACTAGTGGGTGCTGTTTATGCGTACTTGAGCTGCACAGCCTGAGCAGACAAGTGAGGGCAGTGTGTTTCTGCAGTTTTAACAGGGGAAAATGGCCAAAGATACTAAAACTTTTTAGTCGCTCTTAAGCACTCGACAGGTATACGATTTTGGAAACTCCTGCCCTGACGCAGGCTGTAAGATGTACTGCTGACTGTTTTCCGTTTCATTTGGAAATTACCTATTTAAATCCTTCAAACCTCTCCTGGTAATTTACTGTAAGTAGGAACATTAGCACTAAGGGTTAAAGTTGGAGTGAAATATGTACTTGCATTAGCAGGAGGGGCCGCGGGGCGCCAGTGAAAACATTGATTTTGGCTCCTCTAGGCTGCAAGTTGCAAGTAATTAAAAACAAGTTGGAGGCCATCAGTTATTTTGGCCAGTTTGAACGTTTCAGCACCAAATGAAATGTGTTCGCAGGTTTGGTTTCTGGTGTCGGTCTATATTTCATGCTGACTGAGACACGGGTCTGTGGCATATTTAAAGAGACTTATTCAAAGTTATTGGTTGGATGTAAAGTTTCTGATAGCAAATGCACTTAAAAACTAACAGTGTCCCTCTTACTAATCATATTGATTGTAAATGCTTAACATTTAGGTTTGGTGAGGGGGAGGAGTTTTATTTGCCAGAACAGAGAAATCTGATATATATGTTGGTTTAAGGGCACCCTAATACTGTATCAATTCTGACCACAAGGTGGAACAGCTAAACCAGGTTCTTTAGTTTTTTTTTTGGGGGGGTGAGGGGTGAAAAGGAGTGGGGCTAATGTCAGTGGAGTGTGGGAGAGAAAAACATTTTGATAAGAGGTTAATGAAAAAGTCAATGGAGTAGAGAGTCAACAGACAGCCAGAGCTCTCTGGGGAAGTGGGGCTCCCTCTTGCCCCGCTGGATCCTTCCTGCACACTTCACTGACAGCCTGGGCATGAAGGGTCACAACGCTTCAGTGAACTGAGCTCTCTCAAACTCTCGCTCTCGCTCTCTCTCTCTCCCCTCCTCCCCCCCCCCCCCCCCCCCCCCCCACACATGCGTTTTTGAAGTATCATCGATTAACATGTTAAACTGCTGAGGCTCTTTACTGGGATAAGTCATGGTGTGAATGAGCTCTCTCGTTATGATGAAAAGGCTTAGTCCATAGAGTATTTTCTTGTTGTCATATGTGATTTGTTCTTACTTTCAAAAATCACATTTCCAAATTGAATTATTAATAAAGCTAGTAGAGATTAACATCCCTGAATAACCAGCTTCTGCTTCATAACGTTACGCAAAGATCTCATTACGCCCGGGTGTTGAATAACCGAGCTAATGGGTAAATGCTAGTTTTTGGATAAATTGCTTTAGGACACAATGGGTTTGAACCACGGCTGAGACCTGTTTCTGAATATAAGCGCCAGGTGTAATGTTTTGACCAGGCGCTAACCTCCGGGTCTGAAAAGTGAAGCCAATGCAGGAGTGCCTAAAAATTGGATTCTAAATACTGTGACTTTTTTCGTCATCCTATACTGTGGGTACATTCCAAGTCTCTTAATTGCATCCACGTTTCCCTCACTTGCGTCTTAGTCCCTCCCACCAGGGATGCTTGGAGAGCTGCGAGGAGAGAGGAAACAAGAAAGAGTGTTATTAGAGAAATGAGATGTCCTTTCCTTATGAAGTGTCCAGTTAAGCAACATCTGGTTCTGATGACTGCGGCTGACGATCACAGCTGGATCAGCTGTTAGTCGGCTTTAAGAGCTGGAGAGACTTTTGATGTTTTTGTGTGCTTGAATGTGAACGGTACTAATGAAACTGAAGACACAGTTATCGTTACTGCCGGAGTAGAGGTGTTTGCTGTTACCTGTTGAACAAACTGTATTCTGTATTTATACCGTGTTCCTTGTCCTGTTATAAGCACAGGATAGATTTCTACTGGCAGGAGAATGTGTTTGTCATATTATTCTTTGTTTGCATCTATATTTATTCTGATTGTGAAGTCATTATTAAATAACCCAGAATATGATTGTGGTTTCTTCTGAACATCAGTTTGTATTCGGCTAAATGTTTCAGGGAAACTTAAAATGATGTAACTCATTTCAAACCCGACGCTCAGGATGATCAACCTCACTGAATGACTATAAACGAAGAAATATGTGTTCCTTGCTGACAGACAGACTCTCTGACTTTAATTGTATCCATTAAAAAAAAAAACTTATTGGGTGAAATAACGTATGAAAAGACAAATCTTTCGAATAAATGAAAAGTCGTTTTGTGGTCCTTTTGTTGTTCAAACCTAAAATGAACATATATTTTAACCAGATGGTGAATCAGAAAACAAATAAAATATAGAACTTGGGTTAAAAGACTTCTGTGAAGGCAGTTCCTCGCTCATGGCTCCTCAGAGATCTTTCCTAGCTCCTACCTCCTCAGAGTGCAAATAAGACGGCCTTCAAGATGGTGGACCAGAACAGCTTCCGCTTCAGGCGAGGATCGAGGAAATAAAAATTAAGAGACTTGGGATGTACCATGTGAGCTATTTTTTTTTCTTTCTTTGTTCAACAAACTATACCATGGGATTTTTCAAAATAATATACTATAACCTTTTTATGACTTTTTTGAAGTACTATACTATGACTGGTTTCAACATACTATAGTCATGTTTTGGACATGCTCTACTATGACTTTTTTATTAATGTATTCTTTTAACATACTACTTTTTCACGACTTTTCGTCATACTCTACTACAGTGGTGGGCCATCAGGGCCAGCAAGGCCTTCTCGGCTGGCCTAAACAGAATCACAAAGCTATAGCTATTTTATAATTTTATATTTTTTCTTAAATACACTACATGTATTGTAATTTCTAAAAATATTTTCCCCATCTTATTTTCTCATTGCACAGCTACTGTCTTCCTCAGTTGCTCTGCTTCCAGTGCAGCTTGTTTTAAGTAGAGCTTTTATCCAATCAGATTTCACCTCTGTCTCTAGGTAAGAAGAGAGGCCTGAGGCCTGCAGACTCGCAAGTGAATCCCTTTGCAGTCTAAGTGAATGGGGACGATATTGTTGATTGTCATAGTCTTCAACCAATCAGATCTTTAGTTTGACATGTTGGGCATATTCTTTGACGTGCCAGAGCCTGCTAGCTGGCCTACAAGTATGTCAGCATTACGTGCAGCTCAGTTTCCATGTGCAGCTCTGCAGTGAGGTACAGCGTGTGCTGTGATTGGTCAGTGGGTGAGCACGTGACTATCGTGAAACGTGATGCAGCTCAGCCAATCAAATATGGGCATTCTGACAAGTTTCCTGACTCGAGCGAGAAATACACACACCGTGACACGGGGCTGAGACGAGGAAAGAGAGCAGAGCAGTACGTTTGATATGTTTGTTGAGAAAGTAAAGTCATAAGACGGACTCTAAAAGAAAATAATGGGCTGTGGCTTGTCATTAAGGGGTGATGGTGGATCCAGCAGCCAGACCAGTTGAGAACCACTGTCCTACATAAGCGCAGAAAACAATATATTTCCCACAATTTATGCTTCTGCATTTTCCATTTGCACTAGTATCATTCGAACGTATTGTTCGGTTTGTAAGCTTCATACCGAACGGTTTAATACGAATACGCAAATAGTTACAGCCCTAGAAACAAATAATAGCTGTAGCGTCATCATGAGGTTATAAGGTGATATTTCAGCTGCAGGATAGCAGTGAAGGCCCAGGTATAAAATGCATGGCCCGCCACTGCTATATACTATGACTTTATTTTTTTAACTATTTCTAGCAAACTACGATATGACTTTTTTTCTATACTATTCTATGACTTTTTAATGACCTTTTTCAACAAAGTAGACCAGGGGTCACTAATAGGCGGACCACGGTCCGAGTCCAAAACCAGACGCAGTTGTCTATGGACCCTAGACCTTTAACTGACTCGAGTGAGATTTACACACATGGGAGAGAGATCCAACAGTCGGAGAGGTACGTGAGTCAAAGATGTTTTTTCACATGATGAAAAAGAGAAAGGTGGACAGCTAAACCAGAGCCTTTAACCAAGAATGGACCAACTCTTAAATGTTCATTCTGACCACGGCCAGTTTAAAACCAGTAGGTCTCATATGTTCAGAGACCGTGACGATTATTAAAAGCAGTAATGTGAAGCTCCACTACGAGACAAAGCACAACTCTTTTGAACAAATGTACCCACTCACATCCGAAATGAAGACACAGAAAATAAATCGAAGAGTCCAATATGATCAGAATCCCAACATGATAATTCACTG